TAACAAAACCATTATACCCTGATTTCCCGTTTTCAATGGGTTCAGGGTATAAAAAGGTCACTTTATGATATTAATTATTTGACTTAATATTCTAACAATCGATTCTATTATAAATATGTATCAGTATTAATTTCAATTCCAATTTTTAGCATACAAAAAATAAGATAGATCTATTATTTAACTTTTGTTGTATATGAACAGAAACGGTTTGAAAATATTTTCTTCTATTTTTTCGGGCATCTTTAACCTTTATATAAATTTACAGCGATCGACTAGGAAGAGATACCTGGATCCTAGCGGATAGCTAATATTTCAATAGTATTAAGCTTCTTTAATAAATGCATAACAGCAACACTCAATACACACATATAATTGGGTTTTTTACGTAACAGGTGCTTTCAAGGAAACGACTATAGCTATTACAATATTCTAGGTGTACTTTCCGAACGTTAATTTTATAGCGTAATAATAACATCCCATGCAATAATTGTCTTAGCTGAAGTCCAAGTCTCTACTAAATGAAATGGGGCTTCAATAAAATTTTAGCAATTGGTAGCAGGTAGCAGGTATCCGATTTCAATAATTATATATATATTCACTCAATTTAATATTACATATATTCATTTTACCGGTTCGTATAAAATTTTCGAAACAATAATTCATTAAATTGATAAGTTACTTATTTAGTTAACTATGGCTAGATATATTTGAAGATGAACAATCATGAACAGTTTGTATAATTTTTTCCATACATCAATTTGTCGCCATGTACATTGACGCAACAACCCAATCTACTTTTGAATGTGATGAATTTGCTAAACGAACTCACGTTATGCCATCCATATAAAATCGCATACAAAAGGCTCTGGTAAGTAGTATTAAGAATAATTTATTTAAGCTGAACATATATATGATCTATTTTGCTGCAAATTAAACAAGTCTTTGGGCGAAACACTATGGAAACTCTGTATTACGACAACCGATATATGGACTTAACCTATATATACTTTAACTATTCTAAACAGGCACCGGATGGCGATGTTCAGCCTAGTACAGAGGTGGATTTGTTCATCTCGACGGAAAAAATAATGGTGCTAAACACCGATCTCAAGGAGATTATGATGGATCATGCGCTGCGCACTATTTCATATATAGCCGACATTGGGGATTTGGTCGTACTGATGGCTCGTAGACGTTTCGTGCCGCAGGATATTGATGATGCACCAAAACCAAATCGCACACCCAAAATGATATGCCATGTGTTTGAGAGCGACGAGGCGCAGTTCATAGCACAGTCAATCGGGCAGGCCTTCCAAGTGGCGTACATGGAGTTCTTAAAGGCCAATGGCATTGAGGATCACCGGTTTGTTAAGGAAATGGACTACCAGGAAGTGCTTAACAGCCAGGAAATCTTTGGTGATGAGCTCGAGATTTTCGCCAAAAAAGAGTTACAAAAAGAGGTAGTTGTGCCCAAGGCCAAGGGCGAAATACTTGGAGTGGTTATTGTCGAAAGCGGCTGGGGCTCCATGCTTCCCACAGTCGTCATTGCGAATCTAATGAGCTCTGGGGCTGCGGCACGTTGCGGCCAATTGAATATCGGCGATCAGCTAATCGCCATCAACGGACTGAGTCTGGTCGGTCTGCCGCTCTCCACCTGCCAAACATACATCAAGAATACCAAAACCCAGACCGTTGTCAAATTCACAGTTGTGCCCTGTGCACCAGTCGTCGAGGTCAAGATCAAGCGGCCCGAGACCAAATATCAACTCGGATTCAGCGTCCAAAATGGAGTGGTAAGTGCTGAAAACATTTAATTACAATAATAGTAGTTTTGATTGATTCACTTCCTCCGATCTGCCTGGAGACACATTGACTTATTCTGTAACTAATTGACAGACTGACTACCTGACGAAACATGGGATTAATGGACTCATAACTTGCCTGATTGAGTTCGTAATCGTACTGATTTCATAAACGAAGAAGAATATCTTGCTGACAACAAGAATCCCATACATTTAGATAAATCTTTAACTACTTAAGTTGTATTTATATATTATTTTATATTACCTGAAATAAGACAATCTAATTATGTCCATTTATTCATTACATACGACACAAATCAAAGACTTAGCGTGGTAATAAATGAATTATCAGCTGTTTCGAATTTATTTAACTTAATTCCTGCCCATGCACTATGGTCTATAATAAATAATTTTTTTTCGGCGTAAAGTTGAAAAATTTAGTTGTATGATCCGAAATTCATTTTACACTCTTGCAAACTGGACGAAACATATTTTTAGTAGAATTAAAAGAAATATTTTTTGTTTGCTATTCTATTCAATTGCTTACTTATTCAGATTTCATTATCTTCTTCATCTCATTTATTATTTTTATTATCCCCATCGTCATCAGAATCACACTGCAGCTCTTTTTCACTTGAATTTTCCAAATTTATGTAGTAGTTAGACGTATGCTTAAGCATGAACCGTTCAAGCATATATGTATGTATGTGTGCAGTTGTATTTGGGTAGATATTCATGAATGTAACTTTTAAGTTACTGAATTCTATACTCAGTCACGAAAAGGTTTTTCGGCAATCTTCTTCTTGTCTGTCCGTCTGTTAAAGTTTTAAAAGTTTCCCGGTCCGCCCATTAGGGGTGTGGCAAATCGGAAAATGCATTAGTTAAGTTACTAGTAACCTCCTCTATCGATTACCCAAAAAAATAGGGGCGTGGTATATCGAAAAATATCCTGTAATTTTCACATTTTTTGAGCGTAAGCATTCAAATCTTACAGTTAGGTTACCGTGCTGTTAGCTCGTGCTAAGAACTGACCAAAGGTGCCTGTGCCAGTAGGTGTGTGGCAAATCCGGAACAACAGAATTTTCTACAGTATTTTATGAATACTTTGAGGATCTAAGTTTTGTGTTATGTAGTAACACTAACCAGAGAACACATAGACTAGACAACTAGTGGAAAGCTTTTTGC